AGATTTTTGATAGCAGCATTTTTCTCAGGTGTTTTGGGAGCGACATGCCGAGATTCACGTGGCTCGCTTACCGGAGTCTTCCTAACTTGGCATTAAAAAAAAAAACACCAAGGTTGTTTTAAGAGACTCTGCTAACGATTGATAGGTGTGTATGTACAGCTGGAAGTGGCAGCTTTTGCTGGATGTCAGCATGGACTGAGGCGGTAAGCTGGAATCACGCTTACACCCGCCATCTTGAAAAAAAGGCAGTTTAAACTGCCGCGGTTTTACAGATAAGACACGTGGCCAGAAAAACGTAAAAATTTACAGTAAAGTCAGACTTGGATGAACAAAACCTCTAAAGGTTTACAGTGTGTTTAAAAATATACGTAAGATTGAGAGAAAAAGAAGCCGGCTGTGGTGGCGCATGCCGGTAGGAATTGCTCCAGAGGCAGAGGCAGGCAGATTTCCAAAGAGAAACCCCGTCTCAGAGAAAAATAAATGAAAGTGAAAGAAATAAAGTAATAATAGATAAATAAATAAGCCACATAAAGATGGAAAATACACAGAGAGTCTGGATACTGTACGTTATTGTGTTTTTCAGTTTTTTCATTGCTAAGGAAGGAACAAATGATAAAGTACACTTACTTATAAATGCTGCTAAATTAATTCAACTTATATCTTTTAAAAATGCCTTGACTTCAAAATTTAAGTATAAGGATATGCTATTCGGAATAGGAGTTTTAGTTTATGTTTCCACAGAAAATGAAAAGCTGAGGATTCCTTCCAGGCTTCTGTGGTTTGACGAACCAAGACCCCCAGAAGCAGTGAACCAGATGTTCCAACAATTGAAACAGCTAAGATGATACAGTCTTACAGACCCCGAAAATATGGACTTATACAGGTTTCTGAGTTTTGTCATGATCCCCATGGTATAAACAGCGCCCCCTTCCAGCATGACGCAGTTTGGAATGAGCGACGTCCTAATTCCCATCTTGTTTATAAATCTTTGTTTTCATTTAAATGGGATTGTTTATAATTGGTTAATGATCACAGCCGATCTCTTATTAATGGTAAAAAGGGGAATTATGTTATGGGTATGGTTTTTCATTTATTGATACAAATTCAAGGTCAATTTTGTGATGTGTATATTTCTCCTCTTGATTAAGTATTGTGCTTATACTGATCTTTTAAAATGTAATGCATAATTAAATATAGACTATAGATAGTTACTTATAATAGTCAGAATTTATAGTTAGGTAAGTTAGGTTTTCTAGATATACAGAAATATATTTGAGATAGATAGACAATCTTCAAACCTCTCAAAGACCTTCAGAAAATGGCATTTAAAATGGTTTAGGGTTTTTCTTGACAATGAGAAATGTCTGCTCCTGGCAGCACCAATTATGTCTGAGAGGAAGATGGGCATCGAAGAAACTTGTTATGGAGTTTGCTTTCAACATGCCTGTACTGCTTGACTGTTGCTGTATAATCTGGACATGCAGGACCCACAGGAAAGTGACTGCTGAACTCAGTCTTACAGGGTTCCTGCTTCATGGAAGAGTCTACGGGACATTCTGCAGGACACAGAAAAATGACTGACAGACTGCTGATGCAGATGGACAGTTTTGAAATTTCCTGCTTGACTGAGAAATCTTCTGGATACATTGTGGCCTATGGGCTGAAGATGGATGCCCCAACGTTACAGAGGAACTTCGGGTGACTGTCCAGGTAGTAAGATATCTCTGTCAATCCTAGTGTTTATATATTATCCTTCTGTGGTCTTTGATGGAGTTGAAGATAGATATTTATAATCATAGTTTTCCTTAGTTATGATAAAAGATAAGCTACATATAGAACTTTGGACTCACAAGGATGGGATGGATGATATTTTCTTTAAATCTTGCTAAAATATTGTAACTATGTTCTTACTTGATAACTGTTCTGTTATATACAATTTGACTATGTTAAAATTAAGACTTTCCTTTTTGTTTAAACATAAAAGAGGAGATGTTTGGGGGAGTCCTGTGCATTTGTCAATAAAGACTGTCTGGCCAATAGGAATCTAGATAGGTGGGACTAGGAGTCCAGGAGGACTCTGGGAGGAGAAACACAGAGAGGAGTCAACATGTAACCGCCATGGGGTAGGAGCCCAGAACTATTCTCCGGTAAGAGACATACTTAGATTAACAATTATGGGGTAATTACTTAAAGCAGAGCTAGCCAGTAAGAGACAAGCAAGGTCAACAGCTTCATAATTAATACAGCGTCTTGTGTGTTTATTTGGGGACTACAAAGCGGCAGAGCCCAGGAAACTGGCGGGAGATAAACCAAAGCAGCTAACAAAGAAAAAGCTTCTCTTAACACAAATGCGTGTAAGACACCTCGGCTCCCAAGCAATCCTTTTCAAAAGGACACCAGCAGTTGGATTGATTGCCCATACCTGTCATACCAGGCACCAATGAGGTTGGGACAGGAGCACCACAAGTTCAAGGCTGGCCTAGGCAACACAGTAAGGCCCAATTGCAGAAAAAAGCAGGCACTACCAATCCATAGAACAGAAGATAAAACTAGTCCTGTATGACTTTGCCTTCAATGGTTATATTTACTTATTTGCTCACTTATTTATAGTTAGTTTTTAAAATTCAAAGTATTTTGATTGTTTTTCCCTCCTCCAATTCCTCCAAGCCCCGCCCCAAATCCTTACGCACCCAACTTTAGGCTCTTTCTTTTCAAAGACTTCTGTTTACAAATATCATCACTGGCCAATATCATTAAATATATTTGTTGGGGGACTGCCAATTGAAACTGTAATAATCTAACCTTGGCTCCTGATAACATGCACATTTGTACACACACACACACACACACACACACACACACACCACACCCTTTCTGTTTCTGAGTGTGATGCTAATCTTGGTTGTCAAACCTGACCACCCCTGGAGTCGACTAAACTCAAGCAGCTGGCTTTTCTTGATTGAATCATGTGTTGTAGAAAGACTCACTTGAAATCTGGGTCAAACTGTCTGGTGTGGAAGAAGGAAGCTTTTGCTTTTCGCTTGCTTGCCCTCACTCTTGCTGGCAAGTCCATTTATCCAGTCTCTGAGACATTCCTTCACCAGTACTAGAACCCACTTGTTTGGGATTTCAACACAGACTGAAGACCAGCAACTCACTAGTAATCCTCTTGGATTCCACCTAGTACCATATCACAAGATAGCCATTGTTAGACTACTTAGATCACAGCCTGGACGATTCTCTCTCCCTCCCTCTCCCTCCCTCTCCCTCTCTCTCCCTCTCCCTCCCTTCCTTTCCCTCCTTCCCTCCCTCCCTCCTCCTCCTCCTCCTCCTCTCTCTCCTCCTCCTCCTCTTTCTCTCTTCTCTCACCATATTCTATCAGTTCTGGTAGAGACCCCTGACTTATGCACTGAGGTTGGCCTAGAATTTGCTAATAGTTGAGGTGAGGGTGACTTTGAACTTCTGATCAGCTTGCCTCTACTTCCTGAATGCTGGTATTGCAGGTGTATATAACAGACTGCAAATTGAACTTTGGGCCTATTTCACATGTAGTAAGCATTTTATCAGCTGAATTAGTCTCAGCTCCAGCTCCAGCTAGTGTCTGTTCTTCTCACATGTGAAACATTTATTTTTTAATTCCTAAATTATTGATCTTTTATCATCCTACTCTTGAAAGTAAATGTATTATTTATTATCACTTAAATAGTCTATGATAGTTATGATTGGGTTGATTCTATATAAAATTCTTTTCCATTTACAGATTGTGAAACTATATAAGTAATATACTTTCAGAATAAAATTATGGAATGAATGCAGGATAGGTATGTATGTTCCACAGCTTTTGGACACAGTTAATAGTACCACACATTGGTTCCATCCTGTGGTATGGGACTTAAGTCCAATCAGAGAGTGTTTACTTCTGTAACACTGGTGTCACTATTTCATTAGTAGGTGTATCTTATCAGGCCAATTTTATTATTCTAGTTCATAGGGTTCACAGCTGGGTGTTGATGACTTTTTCTCCCTAGCAAGCATGCATAGCATCTTTGAGCACTGTGACCGCTAGCCAGTAGGATGAAGCTTCCAGGTCAGTGCCAGTTTCATTTCTCTGTGTCCTGTGATTCAGGTATGTGGTGTCTTCAGTGGTGGAATCCTGCCATAACTTATGGTAAGGGTAACTAGGAGCAATGGCAGTAGCTTGTAATGTTGGGGGTGGGATCCCAGGGGCCACAACTCAAAAAGACTTAACTCATACCTGGTACCAGGCTTTTTTAGCCTATGGTGTCTGAGAGAGGCATTGTTCCATTGTTCCATGTTAACTCTCTGTATCCATTCTTCTTTAAGATTTCCGAAGAATTCTGTGTTTCTATCCGGAGATGGTAACCAAGCCCTTTGAATCTATGGCAAAGAAGAAGCTCCTTCCCCCCTCTGTACCTAATGAAGGACTAAACTTCCAGAATAAAGTGAAAGTGTCCCTGTGACCTGTACATGCTCAGAGTCCTTCTACTTTCAAATGTATTAGTAAATAACCTTACAGTTCAGTTCCCGGCTGTGGGACCATGTAAATGTCAAAGCCTTACTTGATTTCACGAAGTTAAAAACAGTAGGAGGAAACTTTCCCATATGTAAATGGTGGGCTTATGCTGAGAGAGAAAAGCAAATTTAATTGAAAATCTATTTTTTTATATTTTTGGTTGTCAGCCTAGCCCTTAATGACCAAGACATCTCTAGCCTGAAAATACATGTTTCTATGACAGAGCTGGAACTGGAAACCAATCCCCTTGGGCCAGTGAACTTTTAATTCTGGCTGTCAGTTTTTGAAGACCCACTAGAAATAGAATTGTAGGGGATGTTAAAGTTGACTTTAGGTGGCTCACAGGGTGACTGTCACAGTTCTAGCACCTTTTTTTGTAACTCAGACATCTACAAATGTGGATGTCATTAATATTTGTCACAATGCTACACAGATGTCTCTTTCTTTTGGAATTGCCCATCAGGAGTGTTCCCAAACCCAGACACTGGTAGGAATCAGATCTCAGTAAACGACAGCAAGTAATGCAGAAAGTTATATTTTTATTGGAAATCAAGTGTTTGAGGAAGCTCTGGTGTTAGAAGTCCTACAGAAAAGCGAATGTGAGTAGAGGCTGTCCATGAACCAGAGATCTGGGACCCCATTGTGGGAGGCATCTGGAAGGTAGCATAGACTTGACTCTGGTGAGGTGAGTCCTAGGAAGAGAAGGGATAAATGAGGGCAATCAGAAGTTGAGGTGTAGATGAACAGCTGTCTGCCTCTTTCAAGTCTCCCAGGCCAGCTTCTATAGATTAGGGTGCTCAGTCACTAAGACCTCAATGGACCCCAAGTGTGTTCCTGGTTTTGGTGTTCTCCCATTCTTAATACACACTTAATGCAAACAAAGCAGTGAACATTGTCTCTTCCAATGTTGTCAATGTCCAGCAGCAACCTGTGGACATGTACTCCCTTGTGCTCACTTTTGAACAAAACGACCTTTTACGAACTTTGTTCTTTGAGAATCTCACACACATATATTGTGCTTTCTAATTACTGCCAATCCCACCCTCTCATGTCTTCTACTCATCCCGATTACCCCTACTCCTCCCTATAAGTCCCTTCTCACAATCATCTATTTTTGTTTTGTTTTTATGACCTGCTGAGTTTAACCAGGGCCACTAACATGGTAATAAGCCTGGGACTGTCCTTTGGACTCTAACAGGCTCATCACTGGGCACACAATTGAAGATAGTGTTTACCCCAAACAGATATCTTTGTAATCGTATATTCCATCTGATGGAAATCCTTAACCCCCTGGTTTCTGATAGAAAAACGAAGGTAACAGGGATTCAAGAACACTCACTGGTGTGGAGAAAGATCATCTGCAATAATACCTTATACCAATATAAGTAGGTCAAAGTGTAGAAAAAGTTAGATTACATCATAAAATGTTAAATATGATTGCATATGTGATACATATTTAATAATATAAACTCTATCTATGTTTGAAAAAAATCACTGAAAAATACTCCCTTAATGTAGGAGTTCAGGATCTGTTGCTAACTGGGTATCTTACTCTGCCTCTATCATAACTAGTGCTCATTTTACCAGGGTTGCTCATCATATTTCTAAAAGTTTGTAACATAGCATTTCTACTGATGAGAAAAAATTGGTATCAATCGTATAATGAATCCAGGGCTTCCTTATATGCTATATGTAAACATTGGGATAAACATCTCTCCTGTGTGGTAGAAACATACCTTGATATCGATCTTGGTCTTTAGTTGGTCCATGATTATATTATCCTTTAAGCTGAGCTTGATATAGTCCTGCCCCTCCCTTTGTAAAATAGCTATCTTGATTAAAATCTCTTCTTTGTTGATAGTGGTCTTGTGATTTCTTTTTGTATTGTTCAAGATATCCTTTATAGGATTGTGAGCGTTCTTGTCCAAATTGGCGTTGTTGTCCAAACTGGGACAAGTCTTCCTCTGTTTTTACCTGTTGGCTAGACTTTTGTTGCACAGACTGGTCATCATCTTCATCATACTGTTTACGCACTTGTGATAGTTCCTCATTCATAGCAAATCCTTTATTCTGAGTTTGTTGAGAGAAACCTTTCAGAGATTTTTGTTGGCCAGAGGATTTCAGTTGGGCATCTTGGGATTTTAGCTGACCATAGGATTTCACTTGGGCATCTTGGGATTTTAGCTGACCATAGGATTTCACTTGGGCATCTTGGGATCTTAGCTGACCATAGGATTTCACTTGGGCATCTTGGGATCTTAGCAGACCATAGGATTTCACTTGGGCGTCTTGGGATTTTAGCTGACCATAGGATTTCACTTGGGCATCTTGGGATTTTAGTTGACCATAGGATTTCACTTGGGCATCTTGGGATTTTAGCTGACCATAGGATTTCACTTGGGCATCTTGGGATTTTAGTTGACCATAGGATTTCACTTGGGCATCTTGGGATCTTAGCAGACCATAGGATTTCACTTGGGCATCTTGGGATTTTAGCTGACCATAGGATTTCACTTGGGCATCTTGGGATTTTAGCTGACCATAGGATTTTACTTGGGCGTCTTGGGATTTTAGCTGACCATAGGATTTCACTTGGGCATCTTGGGATTTTATCTGACCATAGGATTTCAGTTGGACATCTTGGGATTTTAGTTGACCATAGGATTTCACTTGGGCGTCTTGGGATTTTAGCTGACCATAGGATTTCACTTGGGCGTCTTGGGATTTTAGTTGACCATAGGATTTCACTTGGGCGTCTTGGGATTTTAGCTGACCATAGGATTTCACTTGGGCATCTTGGGATTTTAGCTGACCATAGGATTTCACTTGGGCATCTTGGGATGTTAGCTGACCATAGGATTTCACTTGGGCGTCTTGGGATTTTAGCTGACCATAGGATTTCAGTTGGACATCTTGGGTTTTTAGCTGACCATAGGATTTCACTTGGGCATCTTGGGATTTTAGCTGACCATAGGATTTCACTTGGGCATCTTGGGATCTTAGCTGACCATAGGATTTCACTTGGGCATCTTGGGATTTTAGCTGACCATAGGATTTAAGTTGGGCATCTTGGGATTTTAGTTGGCCATACGATGATTTCAGTTGTGATTCATGAGATTTCACTTGTCCATAGGATTTCACTTGGGCATCTTGGGATTTTAGTTGGCCATACGATGATTTCAGTTGTGATTCATGGGATTTCACTTGTCCATAGGATTTTACTTGTCCATAGGATTTCACTTGGGCATCTTGGGATTTTAGTTGGCCATACGATGATTTCAGTTGCGATTCATGGGATTTCACTTGTCCATAAGATTTCACTTGGGATTCTTGGGATTTTAGTTGGGATATTTGTCCTTTACGACAAAGTGCAGCCCCCTTCACACCGGTGTGTTCTTGTGAAAGGTGTGTCTGTGACATGTCATTACCCTGATCATATACTTGATGCTTTGTCTGCATGAAAACACTTTCTTCAGCTGCATCACTACTTCCTCCTTTGAGCCCGTAACTGGCATGACCTTTCATAAATTCTGACGAACTACTCGTGAAGCCGCCACCTTTCGTGAAGCCACCACCTTTCGTGAAGCTGCCTCCTTTCGTGAAGCTGCCGCCTTTTGTAAAGCTGCCACCTTTCGTTTCACCTAGTAATTCATAATAAGAATGCTTGTTATAGTATCTGCATAGTTCCTTCCAAGTCTTATTCCAAAAATTTCCTTGTAAAATGGCTGATGTTCCCACAAGGGATTTGGGTTTGGGTAGAGAAGAATTAAGTCTCATCAAAAAGATCACCCTTTGGAAGGATCTACTCACTCCCATAGCACCCTTAAGGACACCCTCCCTGAGTGATTTTCCCTCTGGCCACCATCTCTATACTCACTATAGAATCCAACCACAGCTTCCTGTCTTTCCAGAATGAGGAGCAGAGAGAGGATGAAGATTGAGGACTTCATCTTGTCAAGAAGGGGCCTTCACTGAGCCCTGAGCAGAGTTGCTCATTTATATCTTCTTTAATTGGGTGTACCACTGATGTGGCTGAAGCTAAAAAAGACACTGCCTCCCCTTTTTTATTATCTCTAAATGTCAACTTCCTCCCCTATGCGCAGTTGGGGACATTGGTAATGTTCCCAGGGATTTAGTGCAGGGACGCAATGTTTTTCTGTCTTAAGCCTCAGCAAATGTTTATCAACCTTCCTGAATTTATCACACACTCTGCATTTTCAAAGAAAAACCAGAGTAGAGTGGAGCAGAGACTTTTTCCATGTTCTGAAAGTAGCCAGGGTCTGATCAAGTTTCCCTAGTTATCGTATAGTAGTACTCTTTCCATCATGGCACTATTTAGCGTGCTATCGCACAGAAGACCATGAAGCTGCTTGTTTCTGAATTAAGAGCAAATTTCTTGACAACCTCCTTTTAAAAATGCAGATGAAACTTAGAGATAAGATGTGTAAACAAAAAACCAGGAAGTTGAAGATCACAAATACCACGTAGTCATGCTATACATACCTGAAAAGAACGCATTGATTTGAGAGTTTACAGCTAAACATTCAGTAAACGGGCAAAAAAAGAAAAGAGAAATGAGCAATTGAAAGCATAGAAAAACAAGTCATACATGTTGAATACTGGGGAATGACAATAAAACTCTTGCTGGATACTTTAAGAAAATATAGCACATGTTCCTTTTGAAAATCCGGCTCAGAAGTTGTGAAAGAATATGCTTAGGGAACAGAAAAGGAAATTTAAGAGTTTTGTTTAATTCTATGCAAGAAGATAATTTGGCAACCTGGAAAATATAATTAGATAAATTATCAAAAGAATAGCAAACAAACCTAAAGTGTATGAATATTATGGGACTACAGAAATTCATCCAAAATTATCTCCCCTAGCTCAGCACCTGTGTGGAGTGAATGAAGTCCTGTGTGAATGTGTAATGTTGACATGAGCGTGGCCATGTCAAGGATGGTGCTTCAGCCTCATGGGAACGACAAGGCCTTCATTTAGCCCAAGTATGGATGATGATGAATGGTTGACCTTTAGCTAAAACCAGTGTGTACAGAAACTACCAACCATGGCTTCCTCATCCAGATGACTGCAACCTGAGACTGCTCCCCTACAGAGACCTCCTACCAAGATTAGCTCTCCTGCCTCCTCTTCACGCCATATATAATCAACACACCAAGTTTCTGTTGCTGGTATATCTCCATCAGAGTACACGGCCCACCTGATCCAAGCTTTTCTGGACATGTCTCTGTCCTTTGTTCATTTCTAGTAATGGCCCCCGGTCAGGTCAATTCCAAAGCTGTGCAGGTTATACAACCATCTATGCTGTGCCTGGGTGTACAGAACCAGTCTACAACTAGATGAATGAAGAACTTATATTTTAATATGTGTGACATAAAATTTACTATAGTGAATATTTTTTCAGCTTCATGTTATTAAGTACACTCATATCACTATTGTGTATCTTCAGATTTTTCATGATCACAGTCCAAATCTGTGATATTATTTAACACTACATGTCTCTCTCATCTCAGCCCCTCATAATCTACTAATTCATTATGTTTCTCGATGTTTTATCATCCTGGGGACTTACACAAGTGAAACAATACAATATTTATTCTTTCATATATGGTGTTGTTTCTAATTTAATGTCTTAAAATCTCTTTTTTATAACTTAAATTTTAAAATAATTTTTGTGTTTTGCATATGGATGTTTTTCCTACATGTATGTTGTGAGCCATGTATATGTTCAGTGCCTGTGGAGGCCAGAAGAGAGCATTGATCCTTTGTAACTGGAGTTACAGATGATTGTAAGCTGCCATGTGGATGGGGGAAATTGACCCTGGGTCCTCTGACAGAGCAACCAGTGCTCTTAATCACTGAGCCATCTCAGCAGCCCTATCCCTTAACTCAGTTTTGAAAGTTAACATGTAATAAAGAGTTTCCAAGCGTTTCAGGATAACTAACATGTTATGAATCAATTGAATTACGTCGGAAAAATCAACCCCCAAACTCCAGAAGAGTTATATTCTTTTTAAGCATGAAATTGTATCTTTAGGAGTATAAGAAGTATATAACCTTATATGGATAATTGGGTATGATTTTTTTCAGCACAAAAGAAATCAGAAAAATTAAAAGTTTATTAAATAATGCAGAGGAAAGTACCCCTATCTGAACAAGATGCTTGTGGATTTCCGCAAGGAGAACAGTGGTAACTGCATAGAAACATACTAGTCTATGCTGTGTTCATTCACACTCCCCTTACTTCTTCCACAACTGACATTCTGATAAATTGGGTGGCTATATCCATTTTTAACACACAGTTTAAGTTTCTCCCAAATGACAGGCTTGCCATACCCATTGCAAGTGCAGACTATGCTCTTGGATTCTTCTCCCACCAGAGTTTCCATGCAGGCAGCACCCAAGACCCCAGCTGGCAACACACAAATGACTCTGCCAAGAGTTTTTGGATCTCAGAGTCACTACAGGCACAAGAACACTTAAGTGTATTAAGTGTCGGGTGCTCTGCTCAAATCACTCAGAGAAGCAACAAACAGGGAGCATAGCATCCTCTGTTCTCACACAGCCCATGTCCTGGGTCCTGGAATGTTCATTTCCAATAGGACATAATGAGCTGAATATAGCTCCATCTAAGCCCTCTACACATGTACTTTACCTGTGAGCATTGAGATGGAAGCTGCTGGAATAGTAAATAGAGAAAGGAGATAGGTAGAGTATAAAAGGCACTTCTTAGAAATCCCGATAAACTCAATGCCAAAGTAGATCTCGACAACCCCCTCGTATAAGTACAAACACTGAAGACTCGTTAGTAGGAGGTGTGAATAATGGGAAGTAAAGGCTTATTGACCCATCATGGATGAATAGGAAATATGGAGACAATGGCTTAGTGAAGATGGAGTTAAACAATGACTTCTGTAGATGAGGACTCCCAAGGATCCCTGAGTTTTAGTTGCACCATGGTTTGGATATGATGTGTCCTGGGAACGGTTCACATGTGGAAAGCTTGGTCCTCATCTTGAGGAACCCGTCACCGAGAAGGTATTGTATATATTGGTACCTCTGACATCATCAGTGAGTTGATCCATTAGATGATGTTACTGGGAGGTGATGGGAATGAGGAAGAGGGCCCCAGTTGGAGGAAGTGACCACTGCAGGCATGCTTTGGGAGTGTGTGTCTGCCCCTCTCGATCTTTCTTTTCCGTTCTGCTCGCTGGCCATCACCATGCAAAGAAATGTCTCCATCGCACATTCTTGCCACCACAATGTTCACTCTCACCATAGGCCCACTGCAACGAAGCAAACCAACCATGGGCTGAAACCTAGGAAACCGTAGTGCAAATAAATCTTTTCCTATCTCAAATCGTTTGCATCAGGCTTTTGTCATAGCAAGGAAAAGCTAGAATATACGGTAGCTTCTCCTTTTCTGTTGGGACCCACCAGATGGCCACTTTTAGAAGAGCAGACCACTGGTAACTGTAAGTGACAGTTGGATCTGGTTTTCTAGAGGACCTATGGGGCCACTCTGCTAACCGCCCCTTTTCCTCTTCCTGTTCTTTTACTCAGTGGGAGTTCCATTTCCCCCAAGTCTTTCTTCCTTCAGAGTCTCAAGTAAGCTTCTGAGGAACCTTCTGGCTGGAGCGACCATCTCAGATGTTGCTGGATACTGAATCCATTAGACCCACCAGAGTATGAACCCATGATAGGAGCCTTTAGACGCATCTCTGAACTTTCCCATGATATTTGTACAGTTGAGGTTTTCTAGCTATTCTTAAGGAAAGTGCCACACTGTTCATTACTCTCTCCAACAGAAAAAGAAGTTGTCAAAAGCACTTTCCAACCATCCCTTTTCTTCATTGTTCCAGGATGGCTTTCTCCTTTGAGCATCAAGACACTATATATAGGGCTTAGCTTAACTCCATCAGACACTCCTTGCCTTTTTCACATTAATGGGTTTCATCTTTAGCAATACAGTAATTTTCTATGCTGGTCGGTTTTCCTTTTACCGTCTTTGTTTTACTTTATTTAATTAGATTTATTATATTTACAATAATAATGATAATAGTTATTATTATGCAAATCCTAACCATCCCCCCGCAGTGTTATCTGTGACTTTGGTTCAGAGAATTGGACAAGGATTTTATTCTTTGAGCCATAAATGGGATCAGCATTATCCTATCTTTTTTATTATTAAGCTCAGAAAGAAATAATTCTTGGCATGTAGGAAGTACTGACGTCACAAGGCACTGTGGTCAATGTTAGTTACACACACTCTCAGCCTAATCTCCAAAGCCGGCTTGAGGGCAATGGAAAAGGATTAGACAGACTCCTAGGGCTACCACGTAGCTCTCCTATCTCAGATTCGATGTTTTTATCTATGTTCTTTCTTCAGTACAGTACAAGAGAGTGGATTTCACCGTGACATTTCCTCACGTGTACTTCATGTACTAGACTCACGCTCAGCCTCCATTACCTTGTGCTGTTTTCTTTGCTCTCCCCCTCTCGCTGCTTGCCTTCCTTCACCCAGTGTCCCTCTTCTGTGCTCCTATATACATCATTTTGAAATTATCAAAAATATAAAAGTATAAAAGGAATCTCATTGCAGTTCTCACTGGTATGTTTCTCTCTGACAGTTAAGGATATTGGACATTTTTCATGTATTTGCTGCCCAGTTGTACTTCATCTTAAAACAAAACAAAAAACCACCTGTTTTATTTTGTAAGTGTGTGTGCCTGAGTGTATGTGTGTGCTCCACATACATGCAGAGCCCTTAGAGGTCAGAAAAGGGTGCCCAACACCCC